ATTTTTAGAAGAACATGTTTCACATAGCAATTTCTCGTAAAAAAATAAGGATTTTGCAGTTAATCTCCGCCCCATGGCTCACGATGAGTAGACAAAATCATCACGATTAAGATAGGGCGGGTGGGCGGGGCTTACATTAGCCCTTTTTTTAAACATAAGTACTCATATTTTCACAACAAGAAACTTGAAACTTGTTTAAAATGGTAAATTTTTGTAGGGAAATATGGATTTTGCAATTACGCTCCGCCCCTCGGTCTGACAACGAATGAAAACTTCATTACTATTGAGGTCGGGACAGGTATGGGTGGGGCTTAATCTAGTCATAAATTTTTCATCCATTGACAAACCGAGCGTCAAAGCATAACTGCAAAATCCATATTTCATGGAATGAAAAGATGTCTACGTATATTAAGAAAAAGTGGCAAAATATAAGCCCCGTCCACCCGCCCTACCTCCATTGTAATGATTTTTTTTATTCATCGTGAATCAAGAGGGCGAAGCTTAAGTGCAAAATCCTTATTTCTCTACAAGAAATTACCATCTAAGACTTGTTTTTGAGTATCGTGTTGTTGAAATAATACTACGTATATTAAGTAAAAATTAAAGCCAAATTGAGATCGAGACGGATAGGTGGGGCTTATGTTTTAGCTTTATTTTTAGAAGAACATGTTGTACAAGGCAATTTCTCGTAGAAAAATCAGCATTTTGCAATTAAGCTCCGCCCCATGGCTTACGATGGGTAGACAAAATCATCACGATTAAGATAGGGCGGGTGGGCGGGGCTTACATTAGCCCTTTCTTCTTAACATAAGTACTCATATTTTCACAACAAGAAACTTGAAACTTGTTTAAAATGGTAAATTTTTGTAGGGAAATATGGATTTTGCAATTACGCTCCGCCCCTCGGTCTGACAACGAATGAAAACTTCATTACTATTGAGGTCGGGACAGGTATGGGTGGGGCTTAATCTAGTCATAAATTTTTCATCCATTGACAAACCGAGCGTCAAAGCATAACTGCAAAATCCATATTTCATGGAATGAAAAGATGTCTACGTATATTAAGAAAAAGTGGCAAAATATAAGCCCCGCCCACCCGCCCTACCTCCATTGTAATGATTTTTTTTATTCATCGTGAATCAAGAGGGCGAAGCTTAAGTGCAAAATCCTTATTTCTCTACAACAAATTACCATCTAAGACTTGTTTTTGAGTATCGTGTTGTTGAAATAATACTACGTATATTAAGTAAAAATTAAAGCCAAATTGAGATCGAGACGGATAGGTGGGGCTTATGTTTTAGCTTTATTTTTAGAAGAACATGTTGCACAAGGCAATTTCTCGTAGAAAAATCAGCATTTTGCAATTAAGCTCCGCCCCATGGCTTACGATGGGTAGACAAAATCATCACGATTAAGATAGGGCGGGTGGGCGGGGCTTACATTAGCCCTTTTTTCTTAACATAAGTACTCATATTTTCACAACAAGAAACTTGAAACTTGTTTAAAATGGTAAATTTTTGTAGGGAAATATGGATTTTGCAATTACGCTCCGCCTCTCGGTTTGACAAGGAATGAAAAGTTCATCACTATTGAGGTCTGGGCAGGAATGGGTGGGGCTTAATCTAGTAATAATTTTTCATTCATTGCCAGACCGAGGAGCGAAGCACAACTGCAAAATCAATATTTCATGTTATGAAAAGATGTCTACGTGTATTAAGAAAAAATGCCAAAATATAAGCCCCACCCACCCGCCCACCTTAATTGTAATGATTTTGTTTATTCCTCGTGAGCCAAGAGGGCGGAGCTTAATTGCAAAATCCTTATTTCTCTACAAGAAATTACCATCTAAGACATGTTTTTGCGTATCTTGTTTTTAAAAGAATACTAATTGTAAGTATATTAAGTAAAAATTAAAGCCAGAATACGATCAAGACGGATGGGTGGGGCTTATCTTTTAGCTTTCTTTTTAGAAGAACATGTTTCAGATAGCTATTTCTCGTCAAAAATCAGGATTTTGCAATTAAGCTCCGCTCCATGGCTTACGATGGGTAGACAAAATCATCACGATTAGGACAGGGTGGGTGGGCGGGGCTTACATTTTGCCCTTTTTTTTTTTAACATACGTACTCATATTTTCACAACAAGAAACTTGAAACATGTTTAAAATGGTAAATTTGTGTAGAAAAATATGCATTTTGCAATTACGCTCCGCCCCTCGGTCTAACAACGAATGAAAACTTCATTACTATTGAGGTCGGGACAGGTATGGGTGGGGATTAATCTAGTCATAAATTTTTCATTCATTGCCAGACCGAGGGGCGAAGCATAACTGCAAAATCCATATTTCATGGAATGAAAAGATGTCTACGTATATTAAAAAAAAGTGGCAAAATATAAGCCCCGCCCACCCGCCCTACCTCCATTGTAATGATTTTTTTTATTCATCGTGAATCAAGAGGGCGAAGCTTAATTGCAAAATCCTTATTTCTCTACACGAAATTACCATATAAGACATGTTTTTGAGTATTATGTTTTTGAAAGAATACAAATTGTAAGTATATTAAGTAAAAATTAAATCCAGATTGAGATGGAGACGGGCTTATCTTTTGGCTTTCTTTTTAAAAGAACATGTTTCTCATAGCAATTTCTCTTAGAAAAATCAGGATTTTGCAATTAAGCTCTGCCCCATGGTTTATGATGAGTGGACAAAATTATCACGATTAAGATAGGGCGGGTGGGCGGGGCTTACATTTTGCCCTTTTTTCTTAACATACTCATCTTTTCACAACATGAAACTTAAAACATGTTTGAATGGTATATATTTGTAGGGAAATATGGATTTTGCAATTACTACTGAGGTCGAGGCAGGTATGGGGGGCCTAATTTAGTGATAAATTTTTCATTCATTGCCAGACGGAGGGGCGAAGTATAACTGCAAAATCCATATTTCATGGAATGAAGAGATGTCTACGTATATTAACAAAAAATAGCAAAATATAAGCCCCGCCCACCCGCCCTACCTCAATTGTAATGATTTTTCTTATTCGTCGTGAGCCAAGAGGGCGAAGTTTAATTGCAAAATCCTTATTTCTCTACACGAAATTACCATGTAAGACATGTTTTTGAGTATCGTGTTGTTTAAAGTATACTACGTATATTAAGTAAAAATTAAAGCCAGATTGAGATCGAGACGGGTGAGCGGGGCTTATCTTTTGGTTTTCTTTTTACTTAATACATTATACATATAGTTTGCTTTGAACAACACGATTACTTAGGATTTTCTCGTAGAAAAATAAGGATTTTGCAATTAAGCTTCGCCCTCTTCGCTCACGACGAATACAAAAAATTATTACGATTAAGATTGGGTGGGTGGGCGGGGCATACTTTTTGCACTCTTTTCTTAACATACGTAGACATCTTTTCACAACAAGAAACTTGAAACATGTTTGGATGGTAAATTATTGTAGGGAAATATGAATTTTGCCATTACGCTCCGCCCTTCAGTTTGACAACGAATGAAAACTCACTATTGAGATCGGGGCAGGTATGGGTGGGGCTTCATCTCGTTATGAATTTTTTAAGATACCAGCTTTACTACATCTACAACAACACATTTTATTTATTTATTTATTTATTTATTTATTTTTCAAAAACTGATATTGTGCGAATTTATGGAATTCATTTCACTATTTTCCCATTTGAATTGTGCAACATTAATAATGTATACTTACAATTTTACCACAGACTTTACAAAACAATTCGCTGTTTTCTATAGAAAATACTAGATGAGAACCAATTTTTAAAACACTTTTACACATTCGAACTTCACTTTATGAAAACCCAACACAAACTAATCGATACAGGAAGAGAACTCGAAAAGAAAGTTGTAGGAGGGCTTGGTGTATTTAACACATCAAAGCTATTCCTAGTAAAGCAAGAGACGACTTGTGTCGGAGTCTGTAAACGGGTGTTTTAATTATATATTTTAAAACCTACCTACGTACTTAGCTGTGCAATAAAATTGGTTCTTTGATGGTTTACGCAGAAAAATAGGTTTTGGTTATTGAATTATCGGCATTTTGCTAATGGAATTCCCCCGACCCTTTTACGCAAAACTCGGGTTGTATTATCTTTCTTTATAGCACCGGAATATTAAATGCGACCTTCGTAAGAAACATGTGCTCTCTGATACACATTTGCCTACAACCAAACTGAAAAGGCTTTACGCTAGAACTCGCTCTTCACTCCTGTTCCTAGTCGACGATTTACTGCGCACAAATCACTCCGGCGAAAGCTCCCGGAATAATCCGTCTTAAATATATCGAATTTAGTGGCCCACGTCCCGCCGTAAGCAGATTATGTCATGATTTCGATATTAACTTCGTGATGAGCCTAATATTTGGCCATTGTTGGGTGACAGTTACAACTTAAGGAGCTTAGAGTTGTCTTCGGCGCGCGGCGTGGGAATCGACCGTCTCGGCGGAGAGCTCGCCGTTCCACGGTCGGAGTCCTGTTTTTCCATGTTAATTGCGGTAAAAACTCGGCGGATCGTCATTAATCAGGTAGACGGCCGGCCAATTACTGACACTTTGCGAAGACTCGTGGTTGGAATTCCGTTGTGGACGGTGAGGGCGCCCGCATCATCATCGCAGCTCGTGTACAAGAAGTTAACAGCACGAGGCCGGATAGATGAGACCGGATAGATCAAGACGCGAGAAGTCGAGCGGGGCACTGGTGCGGCCTTGGCGACATGCCAAGGGCGGCTCGTCCTCGCACGAACTCGCGAAACGATCAGACTTAAAAATGCAAACAATTTTGATTTTCTTTACACAAATCTGGAAGTCAAGACGGATTCATAAACTACAAGTAGAGACGGACAACAGACGGAAACCACAGACCTGTGTTTTCGTATTCTAAAGGTCATGAAACCTTTCAAGGTACCATATCGTCGATAACCAACTTATTTGAGAGTCAAATTTTACTAGAAATAAAACGTTAACTAGTTTTAAGTATCCATTTCACCCACTTTCTGTGTATAAGCAAAAATATTTTATAAATTAGCTACTTAAGTCACTATTCGTATCTATGAATTAATTTTGTCGTACAGGTCCAAAAATCGTCTACAGTGACACTCTTGTCCATATATGGTGGTTGACATCTGGCACAAAAAATTTCTTTTGCAGCGGTCGTCACAGCCACTTCTAGTACCAACATCAGCATCCCTAAAGTAAAACCTACCCAACAATCAATTATATTTATTTAATTGTTAAAACAAATCATAAAAATCACCGAAAATAAGTATCCAGAAGAGAGTGATTTGTAGCCATTCGATGCAACACTTTGTCCACTTCTGAAGGCATTAAATTTTCAACACCGTAAGCCTCTTTGAAACTGTACAACTTGTACCATTCGGGCGAATATGTACGGTTAGAATTAGCCCGAGTTAGATTAAACGTATACTCTTCGTAGTCTAGTACAACCTGCAACAAGTTGATGATGGTACCGTCGTACTACAAAGGTACTTACGCAAGAACTTCCATCCACCGTATAGTATTTAAAACTCGGATTGGAATTAGTACCCCATGGTGTGACGGCAGCTCCATTAAACGCTACCCCAAATGCTTCAGTACTGCTTGTGTTAGTACTGCTATAGAAAACACGCAATTCGTCTACATGAGTGTGACCATTAAACTGTGCAACAATGGTACTTGCAAACCTACAAAACCACGTCACCAAAGAAACAACTAAAGAGTAGAATCACCGTTCTACTATTCTCGAGTACTGTCGACTCCACTCCTTCACTACGTCGTGTGTACCAGGAGGCACGTGCCCCATTATATGAACTCTTTCATTATTTCGTTCTGCTTCTACCAACGTATCCACCAACCACTGCAGCTGCTTACGTGCATCACCATCGTTATAGAACAACCAGAAGTTGCTTTTTATTGCGACATTGTTGTTCAAAGCGATGATCCTAAACCCAGGTTTAGGCGAAACTGTGTAGTACCCACCTGCAAGGACCGTTTCAGACACGTCTTGACCAACCATTTTCACCCAATGATCAGCCGCTACTCGGTACAACCATGACATGTTAAAACCACCCACAGAAGGAGCCCAACTACAACTTTCACACTGTACCAACAGCAGTCAAAAATTACCAACACCCACAAATCGAGCGGATGCGCCTCATGATTTCCAAGAACCGGAAAAATGGGAACATCAAAACTTTCCCTCAAATACGAATATAGTTTCGATGCAAGCTGCGAGTTTTTCTCAATACTAGTGTCAAAAATTCGGTGGGACATAATGTCACCGGTGTAGTAGACAAAATCGAAAGTCTAGAAAAGTACTTCAGTCCGAATCGTACTCCAAGAAGTACTCACCTTGTTTTTAGTTTGTTTAATCGTGTTTTCGATCAGGTGCCAAGGAGAGTCCCCGTTCCTATAGTCTCCCCAATACCCACACCTGTCCTTGGACGATGGTGGTACTGGTTGATCATTTTGACAACACAAGGGTTCGCTACACACACCGTTCCCTCCAGGCATATAGTTCGGGTCATAGTGAATATCGCTGAGTTGCAAAATCGTGAAATTTTCATTTCGTCCAAGTTTTGGTCTTTCGGTACCACCGGATGGTATCACCACAGACCAGTTGAAATGAATGCCGTATGAACACCCAAACGCGGTTAACAGTACTTGACAAATGCGTTCAGCAGTCAAGTCGTATTTGTTATCAACAGTGTAAAGAAAAACGTTCTAGTAAAAAACAGTATGAGCAAAAGGTGGTACTTGTGTTTGATCTTACAATGAAGTGTCTACCATATCCTCGACAAACTCTCCTGGTTCCAATAAACTCACAAAAGAAATCTAGTGTGTCCATAAAGTATCGTTGCGGGTATCCTTTTTTTCTTTTGTCTATGAACCTATTTGCAAAGATGGGACACGCGTTACAGACGATTTCATGTTCCATAAGGTACTCTACGTCGGGTAAACTTGCAGATTGAGCGTATAAGGCGGTTTTGAGAACGTCTTCGTATCCTTTAGTTTCCAATAAGTGTTCTCTGATGTATGTGCTAAAATCGGATAAATCGTCTACAGGACGATGAGTGAAGTGGTGCGGATGTACAACTTACGGAGAATATTTTGTGATGCTGAAAGTATTAAAGTAGAGACGACGAAAATATAAAAATGTAACTTGGACATCGTGTGGTTGTTAGTGTTCTGAAATTTTAAACTATTTTTAATGGAAATTTATTCTTTATGGTTGCACTGGCATTGAATGATAACGAAATATGCTAGTTTCGAGTAAATACTCATGTATTATTAATTAAATCGTTGTAAGTATAAAACTTGGAATTTTCGTTATCCAACAATATAGGAGAAGCAAACTGAATTTAAATCTGGTTTGTCTGATAGATAGTTCGGTCTTAGTTTATATATGTTACACACCAAACAGTGTTTCTAGAAATCCGAAATATAAAAAAGTGCTTGTGGTTTATACTCGGACGAATGGCCACTTTCAAGTTTTCTCGAAGTTTCTTGTGTGGTAGTTTGTGTCGATTGTTATAAGACAGATAATCTCCGAACCTAATGGACCAAGTGTTGTCAAATGTTGTATCCACGTTATTAGGACTACCATGTAGATAGTAGGAAATTTGTTTTTAATTTTATAAAACAAGGTACTCCTGCACTTGCACTAAATCCGTGACTCCGTGTTGGGTTTTCAGCCTAGACATCCAGATTCGTTGATAGATTTTAGAATTACTCATTCAGTGTTATTGAAAATAATGATTGTACTGATTAATCAAAAACGACTCACTCAATTTTCCTGAAAATTTTGGAATACAATACTGTTATTATTCTCAATTTTTTGATGTTTTTGTTTCGTGATTTTTCGTTTTTTCGATTGCTCCATTTTTCGATATTTTGATTTTTTTAGTTATTTTTCAGTTTTTCCATTTTAAAATTTTAATTTTAATTTTTGTTTAAATTTGGTTTTTATTTGATTTTTCGAATTTTCGAATTAGCAATTTTTTGTTTTTTCGTTGGTTCGATTATTCGGTTTTTTGATGTTTCAGTTTTTCGAATTGAATTCTAGTTTTCGCGATTTCTTAATTTATGGGTTTCTGAAGTTCCCAATTTCTCAAATTTTTGGTTCTGCATCTTTCAATTTTTCGATTTTTCTCTATATTTTCAATTTCTCGATTTCTTAATTTTTCGAATTCTCACTTTTTCATTTTTTACGATTGTTCGAATTTATGAATTTTCGATTCTTTGATTTTTCAATTTCTCGATTTTTTACATTTTCGATTTTGAAATTTTAAATTTTTCAGTTGTTCGATTTTCTAATTTTTCGATTTTTCCATTTTTCATTTTGATTATTCAATCCCGTCAATTATTATTTTTTTTATTATAGGTATGATTTTTCGGCTCTTCGATTTTTTGATTTTTGAATATTTCAAGTTCTCGATTTACGATTTTTCGTTTCTTATCGATTGTTCGTTTTCTCAATTTTTCGATTTCTCTATTTCCCCATTTTCTGATTCTGCATTTTTAGATTTCTTTATTTTAATTTCTCTATTTCTTAATTTTTCGAATTTTTGTTTTGATTTTTCGATTTTTCTTAATCACAATTTTTCGATTATTGAATGTTTGGATCTTTCGCTTCTTCGATTTTTTATTTCGTCAGTTTTTCGATTTTCGATATTTCAGTTTCACGATTTCCCAATTTCTCAATTTCTCCATTTTCTGATTCTCAGTTTTCCGATTGTTCTTCCTATTTATTTCCCATTTTTCGATTTTTCATTTTTTGATTTTTTATATTTCGATTTTTCAATTTTTAGTTCTCAATTTTCGATTTTTCGTTTTATATTGATCGTTCGATTTCTCAATTTATCGATTTGTCCATTTTGGTTTCAATTTTTTCGATTTTCACGTTCTCGATTTCTCAATGTCTCAATTTTTTCATTTTTTGATTCTTCATTTTCTGTTTTTCTAGTTCTTCATTTCGATTTCTCGATTTCTTAATTCTTCCGATTTTTATTTTAACTTTTCCAATTTTCAATTTTTCGTTTTTTATTTTTATCGATTGCCCGTTTTCTCAATTTTTAGATTTCTCAATTTATCGATTCTCAATTTCTCTATTTTTTGATTCTCATTTTTACGATTTCCAAGCCCTAGATTTCTGAATTTCTCAATTGTCAGTTTCATTCATTTATTCACTTTTTTCTATTTTTCGATTTCTCGGTTTCTTAATTTTTCGAATTTTTATTTTGATTTTTCAATTTTTCGAATTCTCAATTTTTCGTTTTTTGATTGTATGATTTTTCGACTTTTTTGTTTTGCATTTTTAGCTTCTTCGATTTTTAGTTTATTATCCATTGTTCTTTTTCTCAATTTTTCGATTTCTCAATTTATCGATTCTCAATTTCCCTATTTTTTTTAATCTCAAAAAATGATTTGCATTTCTCAATTTTTCGATTTCTCGATTATCAATTTCTCGATTTCTTAATTTTTCCAATTTTTATTTTGATTTTTCGAATTCTCTAACTCTCAATTTTTCGTTTTTTGATTATATGATTTTTCGATTTCATCGGTTTTCCGATTTTCGATTTTCGATATTTCGATTTTTCGTTTTTTATCGATTGTTCGTTTTTTCAAGTATTTCTCAATTTATCGATTCTCAATCTCTTTATTTTTTGATTTTCATTTTTTCAATTTCCGAATTCTCGGTTTTTCAATATCTAACTTTGTTCAATTTCGATTTTTCGATTTCTCAATTTTCAATTTCTCGATTTCGTAATTTTTCCAATTTTTATTTTGATTTTTCGATTTCTCCAATCTTCAATTTTTCGTTTTTTGATTGAACGATTTTTCGATTTTTGGAGTTTTGCATTTTCCGATTTTGGATTTTTCGTTTCATCAATTTTCCGATTTTCGATTTTCGATATGTCGATTTTTCGGTTTTTCGTTTTTTATCGATTGTTCGATTTCTCAATTTTTCAATTCTCTATTTCTCCATTTTTTGATTCTCATTTTCTCGATTGTCAGTTTCTCGTTTTCTAAATTTTTCGAATTTTTCCTTTTTTCTTATTCACAATTTTTCAATTTTTGAGTGTTTGCATTTTTCGATTTTTGATATTTCAGTTTTTTAATTTTTCGATTTTTCGATGTTTCAATTTTTCGATTTTTCGTTTTCATTTCTCGAGTCTCAATATCTCAATTTCTCGATTTTCCAATTTCTCAATTTCTCCATTTTCTGATTCTCAATTTTTCAATTGATCTTTCTATTTATTTCCAATTTCTAGATTTTTCTCAATTTTTCATTTTTTCGATTGTTCGATATTTCGATTTTCTAAATTTTCGGTTTTTCGATTTTTCATTTTGTTTTTCAATTCCCCCAATTCTCAATTTTTCTTTTTGTTGATTGTATGCTTTTTCGATTCTTCCATTTTCTGATTTCTGATCTTTAAATTATTCAATTTTTCAAGTTCTCAATTTTCGATTTTTCTTTTTTCATCGGTTGTTCATTGTCTCAATTTTTCGGTTTCTCAATTTATCAATTTTCTATTTGTCAATTTTTTTATTCATTTTTCTATTTTTCGAGTTCTCGGTTTTCAGTTTCATGATTTCTTAATTTTTCGATTGTAATTTGATTTTTTGGTTTTTGCAATTCTCAATTTTTCGATTTTTGAATTTTTGCAAATTTCGTTTCTTCGATTTTTAGCTTCATCAATTTTTCGATATTTCGGTTTTTGATTTTTCGTTTTTTCGGTTTTTCGATGTTTCAATTTTTCTAATTCTAGTTTTCTCGATTTCTTAGTTTATGGGTTTTTGCATTTTCCGATTTTTCGATTTTTCTACATACTCGTATTTTCAAATTCTCGATTTCTCAATTTCTTAATTTTTTGATTCTGCATTTTTCGATTTCTTAATTTTGAGAATTTTTATTTTGATTTTTCGATTTTTCCAATTCTCAATTTTTCGAGTTTTTAATATTTGAATTTTCGACTTCTTTGATTTTTTGTTTCATCAATTTCTCGATTTTCGACATTTCGATTTTTCTTAATTTTCAATTTTTCGATTGTTCTTTTTTACATCCCTAGCCTAAACTAAGGAAATAAAGTAATCGAGTCCATCGCGGCACTTCTCAACTTCTCAAATTTTTATTCCTGCATTTTTCACTTTTTCAAATTTTCTATTTATTTTCAATTTCTCAATGTCTCGAATTTTCGATTTCTCCAATTTTATTTTTGATATTTCAGTTATTCAATTATTCGAGTTCTCAATTTTCGATTTTTCGTTTTTTATCCATTGTCAGTTTCCTCCATTTTTCGATTTCTGAATTTAACGATTCTCAATTTCTCGACTTCTCTATTTCTTCATTTTTTGATTCTCATTTTATTGATTCCCGAGTTCCCGATTTCTCAATTTCCCAATTTCTTCATTTTTTGGTTCTGCATTTTTCGATTTTTGGATTTTTCGGTTTTTCGATTTTGCTCATTTCTCGATTCTCAGTATCTCCATTAATTTCTCAATTTCTTCCTTTTCTGATTCTTAATTTTCGGATTGTTCTTTTTTACTTCCGAGCGCAAACTAAGCAAGTACCTACAGTAATGGAGTCCATCGGGGCACATATCAATTTTATGTTTTCTCGACGTTTCATAACCCTATACTACGAAAAATGTCGTCTCCCGTTTGCCTCTTGTCTGTCGTCTGTCTGTATCGTCCGTCTGTCCGTCTATCTGTGTCGATTTTTAGTAGGCAGATAATCTACAAAACTACTGGACTGATTGTTGTGAAATTTTTTATGTTTATTAGGAATATCAATGTCGATGAGAAAACGCTGACCAAAATTTGTCAAATCATCCCCATAAACAAAGTGAGGACATCCCATTAAAAGTTTCAACAATAAATATTTTTTAAATTTTATAGAATACTTCTATACTTGTAATTTACAAATCCGCACTGAGTTTTAATCACAATTACTTTACAAAAATGTTTTTGAAATCGTTGCTGCGTGTTGTGTATAACCTGTATCTCGCCCACGTAGAAACCACGTGTTAGGCCCCAGCAAACATGATTTCCAATCAATCAATTAATTAGTTTTCTATTCCAATTTGATTTTCTTGCATGCAGCGGCTGATGCTTGAAATGGGATCGTGCTTATAGTTGAATTTTTCGAAGTATAAACATAAACAGTCGAAGTTAAGCATG